TACAACCCCAACCAGAATTATACTGATGTAGAATCTGGTCTCCTGTGTCTCTCTTAAAACTTTTTAAATAAAAATAAATGTTTCCTACCCATTGGTAGTTAAAAATCTTTACTACTTAATTTGTTCTAAGAATCTATGACAGTGTTCCATATTCTCCTATCATAAGGCAGCACAGAGCAAGACAACTTGTTACTGGAAAGCATAAGGACAATGTTAATCAGACCAGACCTGCCCCTTTTTAAGACTGATGTATCCCAAATCAAGTGACTTGGAACCAAGGGAGAAAACCATTGTACTTAAAAAGGTAACACAGCCATCTAGTGGAAAGATTTTTAATAGCTGATTAAGTTACTTCAGAAGCTCCGATATAGAAAACTAAAGCTAAAACGGAGTTAGAAACTTGTTTCTTGACATAGGACTTAGAAATGTAAAACATTTACAATCCGTAAATGTGAGACTTCTTACGTGGCCTGTGATTTTTAGACATTGCATTAACCACGTGAAAATGACCTATTTGTGTCCAGAAATGAATTACAAACTGTCAAACTCAAGTTGCATTACAGAAATGTAGTAATGAAGATGAAGCTGAAGTTGCCCATTTGAGCCCCCCTGAGTGCTTATGTTTGTAAGTCCTGTATGTAGTATGACCACTGCCCCACCTTCTGCTGCCTTTGTGCTCTTTGTTTGGTCGTTTTGGTTTTGTTTCTTAATGGTCTTTGGTAAACTGCATCATCTCTGTTTTCCTTCCCGAATTTCCCTTTGCTGAACTTACTTTTGTTGCCAGAAAGAAGATGTACCTCTCAGGGAAGCCGCTGGCCGCCACAGCCATACTGTGTTCTGTTGTTAGTATTACCTCCTTCCTTCCTCTTTCAGGCTCGGTCCCCAAACTCCCTGTAAGACCTCCTTTCTGCTAACCTCACATCCCCAGCAATTGTAAAGAGGTTGCTATTCATCCTACTGGGGCCTCTGGCACAGTTCCTGCCAAGAGCTGCTAGTGTGCTGTTCACACTCAGCATACTAGTTTGCCATAGGCAGTCTTCTCTTTGCAGATCTGTAGTAGTGTAGATAATTGAAAAGGTAAGACACCACAGTTCTGGCTTTCATGTAAAGAGAACTGGCACTGCTTGTAGAAGATGAGGACGGAGCAGAAAGGCAGAGGATCCGAGCTCCCCCCTAACCCTGGGCTCTTTTAATCGTGGGTACGTGAGAGTTTCCTTGTAAACAAACTAGGAATGGGGAAGGATTGACCCCTGGTGTGCTGACTAGACGTTGACTGAGAGAAGCAGTAAATGAATGCATGCTGATCCTGATGTGTGTGATCGTAATAGAGATGTGTAAGTCTCTTTTACTGGGTTTGAAGTAAAAAAAACTCTTTGATAAAGTTGAGATGTTGAGATTATCATTTTAATCTGCAACCAAGTTGTCTTTTTCTTTTCTTTTTTCTTTTTTTTTTTTTTGGTTATTTGGTTGTGGAGCTTGAACTAGGAACCTGGGTGTTATCCCTGAGTTCTTTTGCTCAAGACTGGTGCTCTCGCACTTTGAGCCACAGCACCACTTCCAGTTTTTCTGGTGGTTATTGGAGATAGGAGTCTAATGGATTTGCCTGCCCAGGCTGGCTTTGAACTGCAGTCTTCAGATCTCAGCATCTCGAGTAGCTAGGATTATGGGTGTGAGCCACCTACCAGCTCCTGGCTCCAAGTTGTCCTTCTATTAGGCATTTGCCTTTTGGGGTTTTTTTTATGGTGAAATATTTATAATTGTTCTTATCTATTACTTTACATCCTTGTGAAGCAGATTACTACTTTTATCCCTATTATAAGTGGGGAAAACAAAGCATGGAACTAAATGAGAGAGGCTTCCTGTTTGGAGTCCACGTCATTGTGTTCCTGGTTCATTATATGCTGCTCCCCACTCCCCAGAACCCCTCATCTGTCTATTCTCTCCTCCATTTTGATCATGCCTTTCACAGTCCCAGCCTCTACAGGACTGGATCACCCCTCTGCTAGGTATCCCTCTATCCGGGTTCCACCTGCTCATTTTCAACCTAATGAATCCTTGCCTCCTCTGTGAAACCATGGGAAAATCTGACTACCAGTCTCAGTTCCTTGTTTATTTCCTTAGGATTACTCTTCATCACAACATAGATGCTAGTAAGGGCAGTTGATGAAGATTAATTGCACATTGCCAAAGTTCATTTTCTTTCTACAGAACTAAGATTTTGTTAAAAAGTAGATCAAGAGGCAGTCCCCACAGTGAACTGTTTCTTCTTTCTCAAGTGTCTGTTATAAGTAGTTTTAGACCAAATGTGTGTCCATGTTTTACCATCTGTAGACAGGCAAGAGGTAAACACAAGCCAGTATTTTAAAACGATCATTCTAATATGGTACCATTTGGGATGTTTGTAAACATCAGAGAGACAGATCTAAGAGCCAGCATTCATGCTCAGAAACTTGTGAATCAGATTCCAGATTTGTTGTTCTGCAAGAGAAGCCTATGAAGAATCATCACCCCCATCCGGAGATTCTCCCTGGGAGATGTCCTCTTGTTTTACAGGGCTCACTCCCTAGGAAGACATGTGGATGTAAGCTCTCATGAAAGTCATTATGTAATCAGCAAAAAGATCTCTTTCTAATCTTCTTACTGTGTTTTAATATGTGTGTAGACATACACATACAAGATTAACAAAGCTTAGCAGAGGGAGTATTAATTCCTACTTACAAAGAATCTTTCTAGAACTCACACATAGTTCTATGTGTTATAGATGCAGGAAATTTCCACAGAATATTTTCAGTGGTACAACCACCACTATCCAGTTTCAGAGAAGCTTTCCCAGTCAGACATATTTTGGGAAGGAATAAATCTCCTTTAAGACATATTTGACCTGCATGGCTATTAATATACAGAGGGCTGGGGTTTCCTAGGCTACCTCAAGCTTCAATATCAACATGCAGAGACTAAACTATGACACTGCTTTCTCTGGATCCCTTCCGAAGACTGAGTTCTCCCGACTGGGGATGCGGGAGGGGGGGGGAGTCGGGGGTGGGGAGGGGTGCTTCCATCTTCCCACTGGCCTCCACTCTGGACCTCTCATTCCAGTATCAACAAGCTCTAGGTTCTGCTTCCCATGGTCTTTGGGCTGCACCAGTTTTATTCCTTCGTCTCCATGGTTCTACACCAGTCAATTTGCCACATTCCTTAACAAGTGTACAGGGGAACTCACTTAGTCTCACCACTAAATGATGATGATTATTTTCTTCGAGGGGTGCCTTTTCTGATTAGTGAGTTCTTTCTGGCTTCTGCTGGGTTCTCCTTTTCCCCAGTCGGCCGGCTTTCTCAGTGGGAAGGATCATCACTGTGGACACATTCTTCCCACCAATGCTTGCTTCCTGTGGTAACCATCAAACAGCCACTGAAGAACCACTTGGATCTCCTCTTCTGTAGTAAATACACAAATGAGTGAAAAAATGCAAGAGATGCTATCTGGCTGTGTTTTGCTCTGAGAGGTCCCCATGAAGCTTCCCAACTTCTACACAGAAGATTCTAGAAATCACTGGGCTGATTTAGGAACTCAGGTTTCCCAAGGCCATTGAGTCATCCTCCTTCTGCTCCTCCCCTCCTCCCCTTCACCCATCCCCACTTCTCCTTCCTCCCTTCCCTCCTCCTCCTCTTACCTTCTTCCCTACTCTTCTTCCTCCTCCTCCGCCTCCTCCTCCTCCTCTTCTTCCTCCTCCTCCTCCTGCTCCTTGTACTAGAAATTGAATTCAGGGCCTTTTGCTTGCAAGGTAGGCACTGTACCACCTGAACCACGACTGCAGCTCCTTTTTGTCTTGGTTGTTTTCAAGGTAGAGCCTTGTTTTTCGCCCAGATTGTCCTCTCTAGAGCCTCTCTGCGCTTGCCTTTGGCACTGGAGATAACTGGTCTGCACCACTGTACCCAGACTTCATAGCTGAGATATCAGGGGTGTGCCCCTCTCCCCAGCCAATGAGGAGATGGGATCTCATGAACTCCAGCCTTGAACTCTGATCCCCGATACCTGCCTTTCAAATAGCTAGGATGATAGGCCGCTACACTAGGCTCCTCCCTTTCTTTATATCTACTCATACCCTCCCCCTTAGCTCTAGTGATACCCAGAGCCTTGGCTATCTTACCCTAAAGTACTGCTCAGGTGCAGTTCACTGGAGCCAAACAATTCTTATTCTCAGTCTGGATTGCTATGGATTATCCTGGTTTCCCTAATCCTGTAGAATAGCTGAGTCCTCAGAACAGGCCGGCAGTGAAAGACAGTGGAAAAGGACTAACTGGGAAGGACAGCAAACTCGAGCTCACGCTTCAGCAGTCTGATGCCTTCTGTCTTCTTACATTCTAATAGAGACAAATATTGAAAACAGACTATGACAAGAAGTACCCAAATGTCAAAATGTCTTTCCATGTAAGGGGTAATGTAATAATATATTTCAATTATTAAAGCACATAGTTAGCTATATCAGAGGTGTTAAGTCACTTATATTATATAAGGATTAAGTTAGAATGAGTAACAATATTCATTTGGGAATACTGGTTTGGTTCATCATTTTTAATTAAAACTTATTCTTCCTTTTAATTGACACAGAATAACTATTATTATTACTTTATTTTTATTTTTTTTGCCAGTTCTGCAACTTAAACTCAGGGCCTGGGCACTGTGTTTGAGCTTCTTTGGCTCAAGGCTAGCACTCTACCACTTGAGCCACAGCACCACTTCTGGCTTTTTCTGTGGTACGGAGGAATCGGACCCAGGGCTTCATGCATGCTAGGCAAGCACTCTGCCACTGAGCCAGCTTCCCAGCCCCAAGAATAGCCATTATTTAAAAAGTGTTATTCCTCTTTTATCCTTTAAATGTCCTCAAATAATTGACAGTAAAACATTTCACCACCAGAGGGTAGAATGTTTTTCTTGCAAAGCTATTTGTTTTCACCGACATTCCCTCCTCGCCACCACTGAGTGTTGTGCTGTATTTCAGCCTCACTGTTAGGAATGAAGAAAGAGGAGAGACTGCTGGGAGACCCACACACACCACCAAAATGGAGAGCATCCAGGTCCTGGAGGAATGGTGAGTATGCTGTCCGTGCTCCAGCTGCCTCGGTTTTATATGCGGCTTGTATCTATCATCTTACGCTTCATGGTACTCCTGGTGTGAAATAAATGTCTGCACCACCTGTGAGACCATTACTTCGTAACTTTTCTGTTAGCTATATTATCTGTTAAAACATTTGTATGTTTATCGCTTTCTAGAAACAAAGAGCATTGCATGCTTCCGGTGAGAAAACTGCCTTGTTTTTTAAGTCCCTTTTCTTGCAGTTTTACGTTGATGTTTCCTTGATGAGGAAAGAGTCTAAACACATACAAAAGACACTGGATTACTCGTCAGTAGCAAAGGCAGCCCCAGGGCTGTTGCTTCTCTTCCCCTCAGAACAGATTTGCACCAAATTTCTCCAAAATGATTCGCTGAAATGTGATACCTAGGGAATAAAATCAGAATCGCAGTTGAGTTTTCATGTGATGATAGGTAAATCCTCCTTTTTAAAATGAATTTTTAAATAATGATGCATCATGGCGATTTGAGACTTTTAAAATTACAACATTTTGAGGCTGGGAAGGTGGCTCAGTGGTAGAGCGCTTGCCTTGCATGCTCGAGGCCCTGGGTTCGATTCCTCAGCACCACATAAGCAAAAAGAAAAAAGCCGGAAGTGGTGCTATGGCTCAAGTGGTAGAGTGCTAGCCTTGAGCTGAAGAGCTGAGGGACAGTGCCCAGGCCCAGAGTTCAGGCCCCACGACCGGACCCCCCAAAAATAAAATAAAATAAAATTATAATATTTTAAATGACTGAGGAGGTTCAGCCATTATGGAATAGCAACAAATGTATAGTCATGAATCTACTTCAAAAACATGGTCAAAAAGTTAAAAAAAAAAAAAAAAGTAAAATAGAAGTAACTCTTGACCAAGTGTATATGACTTAGGTCAAAGGCAAGGTCAGGGTCATTTTGAACTTGAAGAAGCTCCAGGCTTCTTGCTGTCCTTTCTTCGATGCATAAGAAAATGGGTCGATGACTGGTGCATTCTTCAGTATAAAATAAACACTGAAATTCTACATAGAAATGTCTGAAAATCTCCATCCCCAGCCTTCCTTTTAACAAATGTTTTAGGAAATTCTTTGACAAGTGTATAAGGCATATTTTTCCTTTAGACCTAGTAACTAATGAAAATATTTTCACTAGAGATTTCTTAAAAAAAAAAATGCAGTCTTTCCTATAGCTGGAAAATGGAAATGTACATATGAAGCAACGGGGAAAAAATAGTGTTCTTTTAAGTAACAAGGTATTTCTATCCATTTGCCACATATTATGAAGAGTTCAGACATTTCCAGTCTTCATTAGTAATTTATGCTGACCATATATATCTTTGTTCCTGCATAAATGAATGATGCCAGATAAGTCCCCAAAATGACCGAGCCAGTCCCTTGCAGTATTTGCAAAGCACCAGTAGATGGCAGTAACGGAACAGATGCTCTTAGGCTCTCCCCACTAGCTCACCCAGGTCAATAGTCTTTAACAATAAAGACTTTATTCTGTCTCTGCAGTCAAAACCCCACCATGGACGAAATCTTATCCTGGTCCCAAAATTTTGACAAGATGATGAAGACTCCTGCGGGAAGAAATCTTTTCCGAGAGTTCCTCCGAACAGAGTATAGTGAAGAAAATCTACTCTTCTGGCTGGCCTGTGAAGACTTAAAGAAAGAGCAGAACAAAAAAGACATTGAAGAAAAAGCCAGAATGATATATGAAGATTACATTTCTATACTATCACCAAAAGAGGTAAAAATCTGGAAAACTGGGAGGTGGGCTTTCTAAGAACAAGGTCCCCTACAGAGGTTACTGTTCAGAATGGGCACTGGGCAGGCTGTGGACAGGTCACAGTGCTTTCCGGCTAGTAATGTCCTTTCATTCTAAGAATCTCCAAGGTTCACTCATTTATCTCTGGAAGAATCATGTGTGGGATTGTACTTGTTTTTCAGAACTGGCACTCGGGAGCAGTTCAGGCAATTTCCTGTGTGTTCTATTAAAATGGAAAAGAATTTATTTGAAGGTGATACTCTCAAATTATGATCCTCCAGCCACTTATCTGAAAAGCAAATTCATGAAGCCAAACACAGAAGTTCTTAATCTGATTTCTGAAAATAGAACCCAGAAGCCTGCATTCCTTTCTTTCCCTTTTTTTATTTAAATTTTGAGTGTGAAGAATTATTACTGGAAGTGAATTAGACACCTCGAATGCTCTACCACTTGAACCATACTTTTAGCTTTTTTTTTTTTTTGTTGGTTGTGGGCCTTGAACTCTGGGCCTGGACACTTTCTCTCAGCTCTTCAGCTCAATGTGAGTGTTCTACCACTTGAGCCACAGTGCTACTTCCGGTTTTCTGGTGGTTCATTGGAGATAAGAGTCTCGTGAACTTTCCTGCCTGGGCTGGCTTTGAACTGTGATCCTCAGATTTCACCCTCCTGAGTAGCTAGTATTACAGGTGTGAGCCACCAGTGCCTGGCACTTTTAGCCTCTTTTGCTATAGTTACTTTACAAACAGGGTCTCACTCTTTCTTTCCCCGGCCAGCCTGGCACCACATACCTCCTGTCTCCACTTCTCAAATGGGTAATATTATGGGCATGAGCCTCTATACCTCTACTAAATTCAGTTACGGGTGAGGTAGACTGAATAATGTAGTTTAGGATAGGGGTCACTCAGAAAAAATAAAACAAGCTGGCACAAAAGTTACAAACAGGTTTGATCAGAAAGATGTCATTGAAATTATGATTGACTTACATTAGTAGTAGTCTCACCATGCATTGGGTTGTCTCTCCATAATCCATCAGCTGTGAGGACAGATGACATCACTTCACAGCATTGAAATTGCTCCTGAAAAAGGTAAAAATCATTGTTCAAAGACGGATGATAGCTGGTAGACATAATATCCCCAGAGACAAATGTCAGGTCTTTCTCTTGCCAAAGAATATAGGGTCAGAAGATTCTTATACGGTGGGATTTACTGAAGAAATCATTTCAGTCAAGCAGAGTCAAGAGTACCAAACTGTGCTGGTGGCTCACATCTATAATCCTAGGTACTCAGGAGGCTGAGATTGTGGTGCACAGCCAGCCCACGCAGGAAAAGCCATGAGACTTAACTCCAGTTAACCACCAGAAAACTGGAAGTGACGCTGTGGCTCAAAGGGGTAGACTGCTAGCTTTGAGCAAAAAGGCTGAAGGAGCTGGGCACTGGTGGCTCACGCCTGTAATCTTAGCTACTCAGGAGGTTGAGCTCTGAGGATCACAGTTCAAAGCCAGCTCAGGCAGGAAAGTCCATGAGACTCTTATCTCCAATAAACCACTAGAAAACTGGAAGTGGCTCTGTGGCTCAAGCGGTAGAGCACTTGTCTAGAGCTAAAGAACGCAGGGACAGTGCCCAGGTCCAGAGTTCAAGCCCCACCACAGACAAAAAAAAAAAAGAGCTCAGGGATAGTGCCCAGGTCCCAGGTTCAAGTCCTATGGCCAATCAAATAAGAAAGATAAAGTACCAAACTACCAAGTGATAGGCACTTTTATGGATGGGTTTAATGATAATGCCAACGGTACTAGATAAATGTCAAGATGTCTGGGAGATGCAAGTACATTTTCTGGTGGGGCGTGGTTTCCCTCGCCTAGTGCCCTCGGAGGCAAGATAGTGGCCTGAAGGGTGTGGAACATCAAACCCTAACCCTATTGAGAGATAGATGTGGCCTCTGCTGACCTTTAGGCTTTGGAAAGTCCCTGAGAAGGGGCTGTTGGCCCCAGCGGTGGTCAGTCAGAACTGGAATGGATGCTTGAGAAATGTAGCTGGACGTGCATGGTTCTGAAGGTGGGGTTGTTCCCTTTCTGCCTGCCTGCCCTCTCTCAATAAAGTACAAGACTAGGATCTGCTCATTCCAAATGCAGTGCTCCTCTAATTACAGCGAGCTGAGTCAATCCTCCATTGTCCAGAACTTTCTTCATGACTCTGCTATGAAATTCCATAAACCCAACCTTACAAACTTCAGACATGGCTGGGAAGGTGGCTCAGTGGTAGAGTGCCTGCCTTGCATGCATGAGGCCCTGGATTCAATTCCTTAGCACCACATAAGCAGAAAAAGCTGGAAGTGGCACTATGGCTCAAGTGGTAGAGCGCTAGCCTTAGGCTGAAAAGCTGCGGACAGCACCCAGGCCTGGAGTTCAGGCCCATGACTGACCAACCTTAACCACATGTCTAGGCCCTCCCCAAGACAGGCAGGATATAATTTCCTGTCATCTGGACCCTGTCAATAATATGATGATTTGATTTTATCCTATTAGTAATCTTTGCTGCAAGAGAAAATGATTACTTTCAGTAGAAATACTAAGGTGACATAATACATGACGATGTGTACACGACCAAAATTTTTAAAATCAATAGGAGAACCATATATATTTATTACTATAAAATTTAATGTAGAAATACAAAATTTAGTTAAAGCTGAGAATAGAAAAGAAAATGGACTTTTGGTGGTACTACTGGTCCTGGGTCTTGAACTAATGGGTTGGGTGCTGTCCTTGAACGTTTTACTCTGCCACTTAAGCTTCAGCCTCCACTTCTGGTTTTGGGGGTTTATTGAAGATTTATCTCATGGACTTACTTCCCCTGGTGGAGCTTCAAACCATGATCCTTAGATCTCAGCCTCCTAAGCAGCTAGATTATAGGTCTGAGCCATCAGCATCCAGCAAAATTTCCTTTCATAGAAGTTATAATTGATAACATTTGATATGCACTTTTGAAGAAAAAAAATCAGAATTTTCCAGGGAAAATTGTACCACATAAAGCAATTTCAGTTCAATTTAAAATAAGATAAAAATGTATTCATGATATGTAAATATATATATTTATTTCAGGAGCTTTACTTCAGGGAAGGTCTTCTGTGGGGATAAAATAACCTTTTCCAGTAAAACAATCTCAATATAATTTTTCCACCAGATAAAAACTTCCATTGTATCCTGACAGCCAGAACAAAAGCAGGGGCAAAATTGAGTGTTCCCTTTCTACAGGAAGCAGCTATCTTAATAATACACTTCCTTGGATAATACAACCTCCTAAGATATACCATGGTCTCTGACTGATGGACACACTAGTGAGAGTTCTATCTTCCTTCTTTCCTTTTCCTCCACACTCTTGCTACACCTAAGCCCTTATTGCATTTTCCGCCCAAGTCATTTGTGGAATTCCTGGGGGAGGTATTTTCATTATGACTGCAAGGTACTATATATTACTCTTTCCTGTCTCCTGCTTCCTGTGGGGAATGAAGGATTCCAACTCCACTGAGGCCTGTCTGGGTCATTTCTGTCTTCCGATGACCAATTGTAAGCTTTCCATAATGCCAAAGTTTTCAGCAGTGCTAGTACTGCCCGTTGAATTCTGCCAAATCCATCAGAGCATCTTGCGCGCTGTCCAACTGTGGTAGAAATTGTAAATGCTACTGTTGCTAAATTGTAACCTTCCCTTGCCCATTCTATCTAGATGTAAGTCTATGGAGATCAAGTAAAAGGAGAATTTTCCAGCCAGGTGCCAGTGGCTCATGCCTGTAATCCTAGCTACTCAGGAGGCTGAAATCTGAAGATCGAGGTTCAAAGCCAGCCTGGGCAGGAAAATCTGTGAGACTCTTACCTTTAATTAACTACCAAAAAAAAAAAAAAAAATCCAGAAATAGAGCTATAGTTCAAGTAGTCGTATGGTAGCCTGGAACAAAAAGAAATTCAGGGACAGCACCTAGTTCCTGAGTTCACACACACACACACACACACACACACACACACACACACACACACACACACACACACACACACACACACACACACACACACACACACTCAACATTCTCTTCCCTTCAGATAAGTTCTCTGCCCTAAGGAAGAGAAAGTGTTCCTCTCCTTACTTGGTAAACCTTGATAAGAGCTTTCTAGCCTAAGCACACATACCTGAGTGTAATAGTGATGACGGCTCTAGTGCATGCTGGGAGCTTGCCTCACTACCTTGAAGCAGCCTGAAGCAAAAGATGCCACAAGATGAAACTATGGATGATCTACCCAGGGGGTTAGTTTTTGTCACTTGGCCTTTCTAACCTTCTTTTGAAACAACCAACCAGATATTAAATACTTTAGTTTTCCCATTTAACCAATGTTTTATTGTTAGATTACTAAAGATTGAACTTTAATACTTTCTCTAATATTTTACTACTGTTCATTTGCAAAAAACACAAAAACCAAAAAGCTAGGATTCTAGATAAAATAGTCCAAGTTATTTTATTCATCTTTACATAGTATGATTTCAGTTACTAACAAGAAACCACTACACTGAATTTAGTTAGGCTATTCTTTAAGAGGTGAGTGGCCCACCCTGCTTGATTACTCACCTGAAGTTTCCTTCTCCACTGAGACAAAAAGTTCTCTCAAGTTTCAAAGTAAAAGCACTGTTTTTGTAAAACGGGGAGGGGATGTGTTTGGTAAGCTTGTCACCCTACTGTACCATGAGATTTAAGAAGAAGAACCAGTTTAAACAGCAGTGTCAGTATTTTCTTAAGTAGAAGCATGCTGAAAAAGATACTTTTCGATAAAATAAAAAGCACGGAAAATAAAAACTAAGATAACCATTTGTAGAACATTTTTTAAAAATCTTTTTTAAAAAGTTCCCAACAAAGAAGAATATATAGTTTAGCCATGAAATGTTGAACTTTTTGTCTGGCTAAGCTGCAGAAATGTAGTCTGGATCTCTCAATTTCCTGACAAATCTCATCCATCAGTTCAAGTCTGTATGAACTGTACAGCTCAGACATCCAGGACACTGCAGGGAACCAGGGAACCATCTGTCAGAGACTGGGTCACATCACAGTCAGTCCTGACCATGGATAGAGACAGTTTGCAAAATGCTTGTGATAATGTTTATTTACAGATAGAAATGGTGTCTGAGGGGCTGGGAAGGTGGCTCAGTGGTAGAGCGCTTGCCTTGCATGCATGAGGCCCTGGGTTCGATTCCCCAGCACCACATAAGCAGGAAAAAAAAAAAAAAAAGCCAGAAGTGGCGCTGGGGCTCAAGTGGTAGAGCGCTAGCCTTGAGCTGAAGAGCTGAGGGACAGCGCCCAGACCCCATGAGGCCCCATGACCGGACCCAAAAAAGAAAAGAAAGAAAGAAAGAAATGGTGTCTGATGGGCTGGGAATGTGGTAGAGTGCTTACCCCTAGCATGCATGAAACCCTGGGTTCAATTCTTCAGTACCACATACACAGAAAAAGCCGGAAGTGGTGCTGTGGCTCAAGTGGTAGAATGCTAGCCTTGAGCCAAAAAAGCTCAAGGACAGTGTTCAGGCCCTGAGTTCAAGCTCCAGGACGCAGGGGGGTGGGGGGAAGGGAGAGGGAGAGAGAAAGGGAGAGAGGGAGAGGGAGAGAAAAAAGGAGAGAGGGAGAGGGAGAGGGAAAGGGAGAGAGGGAGGAAAGAAGGAAAGGATGTTTATGTATTGACATAATTATAAATCCCAATGTTATTTAATAGTGAGAGTAGAAATAAATTGGGTTCTGAATTATTGTTTTGATTCTTGCAAAGAGGTTTTTTTTTCCCCTTTTCCTTTTTTTCCCTCCCTCACTGCCAAAGATTAAACCAAGTTCATCACAACATTTGTAGGCAGTTTTCTTTCTAAGATGGTATGTCAGGGCAGCGTTTGAGTTCTGTTCCCCTCCCCCCTCCCAAACCTTATTGCTATTTATTCCCACTTCCCTTTCCACCATGCCCTACTTGTACAAAATCTGTTAGCAATTTCATGGGAGGTACTCTAAAGAGTTTAACTTTTGTACATACTTCAGAATTCCCATTTTAATGGGTATTCTGCATGCTACTTCCACTTCCATTCTCATCTGTGGCTTCTATCTCAAGCACTTGCCTGGCTCATGTTTAATAAAGACATCTCTGGAGCCATGCTCCATGGAAGGACGGTTCCTAGGTCTTTCCAGGTAGAGAAGACCTGGTATGTTCCTGCTTTGCCATGACCTTCCCCATTCCTGCTTTGCTACTTTTGACAGTGAGCCCCGCTGGGATATGAAACTGTGGAGCATCTCAGTAGGGTCAGCATTGGGTAGTGATGTTAATTTGTTGGAGAATTCTTTTCTGATTAGACTGGTCATGGAATGTCATGGGAGCCACTCCAGCAGTTCCAGAAAAGGAGGCACTGTGATTGTTGTCCTCAATGATGAAGGGAAATGCTTGAAATCTCCTCAATAAATGCATAGAAAAGATAAATCCGAGTAAGTCGATATATTCCATTTTTAAAAACCTACTCCGTTTTATCTATCGCATTCAGTCTAAAGGAAGTGAACTATGCAAGACTATTTAGTCTTTGAACATTTAGCCTTAAGATTCCAGGTAGTTAAGACTTCCTCATTGAAGACCCCCCCCCCCCCACCGAGAAGTCAAAAACTACAGTTACTTAATTGAGCTCTTTTGAAAACAATATGTATTTATGTCTCTGCCCTTATTTATGTTTTTAGGTCAGTCTGGATTCTCGAGTTCGAGAGGTGATCAATAGGAATCTGCTGGATCCTAACCCACACATGTATGAAGACGCCCAGCTGCAGATCTATACCCTAATGCACAGAGATTCTTTCCCAAGGTTTTTGAACTCTCAGATTTATAAGTCATTTGTTGAAAGTACTGCCGGCTCTTCTTCTGAATCTTAATTTGCATTAAAAATAAAAATCATTACAGAGGGCTAGGATGGGAAATAAAAGTATTTCGGTACTGTCAGAAGTTGAGTTCCTGGAAAACTACAGGTTGGCATCCTCAGGCTACTGTGAAAATACAACCATTATTGTCCTTGTCTCCATTTATATCAAAGTTAACTGTGATTAAGTTTGGCGAGAACACCACATGAACCAATGAATTGCCAAATTGTTTGCTTTATTCAGAACTCATTCTCCTTGCAAGCAAGCCGTATCTGTAGTCTACCATCTCCCAGTGTTTCTCCAAAGACTGCATGTGCAAAGTAAAAACTGCTTCATTTGCTGCGTAGTTGACGTACTATTTAATCCAATAACGTAACTTATATCTGTATTTAAGGACTTTTGTGCAATATTGTCTTTAGAAATACTTGCCAAAAAAATATTGGCTGTGGTTTGTATTTTTTAACATAATCTGAAGAGAAAAAAAGGCAATTTTTAAATGTCAACAATGGTATTTTAACATGCTATATATATATATATATATATTGTGTTCAGTATACTCATTTTGAAGCCAATATTTCTGTAAATGGAAAAAAAAGAGCTGTTTATCTCTGTCCATTGGGAAATCCTGATGGAGATTTCTCTGGTGGTTCACTGCCAAAATGATGGCGTTTCCAGGACAGAAGAGTTTGCTATGCTAAAAAATAAAAATAAAAAATAAAAAGTTAATAAGAAGAAAGAAAAAGCACAAAATAATTTGAAGATACCTTATTTCTATGACAAATCAGAGTGAGTGTTTTTAATTTTAATAGAAGAAAATTATCTATGTGCATATCAGATGTCCAATACTGTAATTTATTAAAGACTGGAGTTCTAAAACAGCTATGTAAAGTTATGTACTTCAGCAAGGGAAAAAATGAGCTTGACAGCTTAGTTTTGGGAGATAAAAAATGATTTAATAAAGTAATGCCTACATGTAGCACTGTAAAACATTTTGGTGAATAGTATCTCTCCGTGGCATATTTTCTTCGAAAGTGAAATCCAGTGGAAAGCTGTTTTTTTTACTAATGGAAGGTTTTATTGGAAAGTTATGAAAAAGATAACTCTTTACTTCAGACCTTAACTGTTTTCACATAGTATCTTCAGAATGAATTATTTTCAAGCTTTCAAAACTGAACTGCTATTCCTCATCTGTAATTAGAAGGCAGTGCAGTACTCAAATGTTTTTGCTGCCATATGATTTTTTTTTCTATGATTACACTAAATCTCGAAGATAGAAAACTTGCCTGGCACGGGCATGCACTTCTGACATTCAAGAAAACGATAATCCTATCGTGCATAAAAATGATATAATCAGTGTCATATTTATATTGAGATGTAACATTTGAATATTAATGTCCCCTGGAGACTATTTTTTTAATCTAAAAGTGAATGCGTATAATACTGAGTAATCTAAAAATGAAAGTTTTAAAAAGATTTCTATCCATTAAGAACACTGGCCTTATATTCAGGATGATATTAGAACTATAGGTTTTCTTTGTCATTTTTTAACTACCTCTCATTTTTTAATTTATTAAACATTTTTAAAAATGACAAGTTTGAGATTTTCTTTTTAAATTTCTTTTACTTGAAAAGTTGACATTGTATGCTTCTTTTTTTCCATACACTTATAACATTTCAAGACTTGTTTTTGTTAAGTGAGTTTGTTTTTGTAATCTATATTGAATTCAGGAGGCATGGTTAAAAGGGCTATTATCTATTCCCTATGCAAATCTTTTCACTGTTGCAGTGTTGGACAAAATGGGATTTTAAAATGATTTGCAAAGTAAAAAAAAAAAAAAAAACAAATGTTCTGTTTACACTGGCGTTGCTGACTATCCTGGCGTACCCAGCACTTTTAAAGACATTATTTATGAACATGTAGTTAAAATGCAAGATAGCAAATATTTATAATAATTTCTTCTAACAGTTGTCTGTTTTATTTCCTGAAGTGTATGTTAAAACATATTTTATCCATGTCACTTAGACATTTTTGAATAGTAGTTTTCAGTAATACATTGAAAAAATAGCTACAAAGATGTTTACAAAAAGTCATATTTTTCCTAAAGAGTAATGAAAAACCTAAAAAAAGTCATTGCTTCTATTGTGAAGTTCTATTGTTCCTAAATCATTTAAATTTTTTTCTTGACAATTTAGGATTGCGTTCATTACGCTACTGTGATATATATGCTTATTATATTGGTATAGTATCATACTTGTTGAGGCACAATCAACTGGTGCACACGACTAGAAGATATGTAATATACTCTGATGCTGCATGCATGTATCTTTTTCATTGTAGACTTTATCATCCTCTTGCTGTTACTATATATGATGGTGACCTGGTAGTCATAAAGCTATCTTTATAAGATACTTTGGACTATTAGATGAATAGTCTGTTTGACAACAGGTTTAATAATTTACCAAATGTAAAGGGGCCCTCATAGAGCAACCCAGCCTCTGTCCTTGGAAGTTGTAGAATTGAGAGTTGAGGTTCATGCGTCTTGATTATGGAGTTAAGAAGGAATTCAGAGCAGCTTTGCACACCACATGTTGGCGATCATGCACATGAGCATTTCTGTGCTAAACTGACACGTGGGGGCGGGGGGGGGGTTCTCATTTAATTTCAAAATGTATCAAGTTCTTAAAATATCTCTGTGTACTTGCAACTAGGTATGGTATAATTTCTTCTGTTTAAGTTACAGAACTATAATAAACAAACAAAAAAGCCCTCCATTGGTGTCTATGCTACCATTTCCCAGAGTACAATATTTGCTTTATTAGAGTTTGATTTTCTCTTGGTGAGTAGGTTCCTCTCTCTGGAAATCTTAGCACTTTAAAAGGAGCACTTTGTGTTTTACATTGCCAAAATAACTTTCTATACTGTTAGAATCTGCTGCTGGGAATAGAAAGAGGTTAATGCACTTTTTGTAGTATCCAACTGCAGGGGTATGTATCATGGAAAGAAATGAAGAGTATAGAGATTGTGTATATTTATGTAAATTGGAAACTTAGATTTCTTCAGAGATTGATTACATACATATATCTCAGTGATGATGGATGGATGACTTTTCTTTATTCTGGCTCATTATTATTATGGTATCTGAAGTTAGAATAGGTTCTCTGACAGTGTTACAGAACTTATGAATAGAACAAAATAGAAGTTTGCTAGTGAAGTTATGAAATGCAATAGTCAAGACATTGTCTCTCACGCACATAACCAGTGCAGATAGCTGGCCATGGTGCATGGGGTATTTATTATCCTTCAATGGTGTGTAGTATAAAATATGTATCATATATTTATCTGATAGATGTTTTGTAAAAGAAATGTATAAATAGGAAAATAATGTTTATTTGTTTGGGAACAAATACATATTTCATCCCATTGAGCTGATTTACAGTAATACCTCATTCTCAGTTTTGAGTTTATTCATTTTTATATGAACCTATAAATGATGAAAAAAGTTTTACTGTCATTGTGGTAAGTTACATTTGCAAGAAATACAAAATACTAGGTGCTTTGTCAAACATATGTAAAGGGAAGGAATTCAAAACACAATCAGAAGCTAGGAAAATAAGAACCTTAAAATTTTTAAATTTCTTAAACCCATCCAGAATGCCTATACAATGAACCTTAGCAAATAAGAACTTTGAATACTTTGAACTTGATACACTGACAACCCAGTTTGAAATATGGTGAAGATATTTCAAAAAAATTTGTCCTCCTATTTACATGGACAGTTTTCAACTTTAATTTTCAAATTATATTTTGCAAACATGTATATTTAAGTCTTTTTCAGTTTTTAAACTTCTGAACATACAATGTTATCCCAAGAAAACAGTATACAATCTGTAAACCTTTAGTAATTTTTCATTTGCTACAATTGCAAGTATAACTCAATAAAGCTGATACCAAAAAACTTGCTTCAGATCATCTTTGCAAAACATACAATAGCTTTGCAATACACATCAGTTACAAGTATCATTTCCAAATTCCAGGCTTTGATTTCTTCATTAGTATTATAAAAAAAACTATTACTGTTTCAGGTATAGTCTATCCAACTGAAGACCATATCATTTCACATTGGTTAATGAGGATATTCTAGATCTTGTCTGCAGAGGAAACAATATGGAAGACAACAGTGTTGCCCTAGGAGCTTACCAATCAGTCTGCAGACTAACTTGATTGCTTTGACAAAAGCTCTCAGATGGCCAGGTGCTGGTGGTTCATGCCTGTACTCCTAGTTACTCAAGAGGCTGAGATCTGAGGATTGTAGCTGCAAGCTAGCCCAGGCTGGAAAGTACCAAGTACATGAGACTCCTATCCAATGAGCCACCAGAAATCCAAAAGTAGAGCCGTGGCTCTAAGTGGTAGAGCTCTAGTCTTGAGCAAAAATGCTCAGGGACCGGGTCCAGGTCCTGAGTTCAAGCCCCTGGCCAACAAAATTTTTTTTTAAAAAAAAAGCAAGGGAAAAAGTTCTAAAATGACTAAAGGAATGATCTTTAACACCAATGATACTGACCAAATTTCATGTTTATAATATACTATATGTACGGGGCTGGGAAGGTAGCTCAGTGGTAGAACGCTTGCCTTGCATGCCTGAGGCCCTGGGTTTGATTCCTCAGCACCACATAAGCAAAAAGAAAAAAAGCCGGAAGTGGCGCTGTGGCTCAAGTGGTAGAGCGCTAGCCTTGAGCTGAAGAGCTGAGGGACAGCGCCCAGGCCCAGAGTTCAGGCCCCATGACTGGACCCCCCCAAAAAAATATAATATACTATATGTACAACCTGAAGTTCACTTTTTCTTCATCACATCTTAATCTCATTTTTATTGTATTGCAGTTTTATTACTTTAAGTCTGTTGATTTACACCTGTTCTTACAGCACTGGCTGTATTAAAATGATTCCACACGCAGTCCTTACTAACAGAACTGTCTGGACACAAGATTCACCTGGGAATGTAGTAGAGGAACACCAGGGACTTAGAACAATAAGCGTGATTTCCAGTAATATTTCTTTCTCCCATGATGGGGGGTAGGTACATCATTTGTCCTCTCTAAATCTGTTTCCTTATATCTAAATGAGGAATATTAATTGAGAGGATGTTACATATAATTTATAGAGATATGACAGCTCAGTAATAATCTTCACTTTTCAAGAACATCTTCAAAAATGTAGGTACTAGTTCTGTTTTTTAGAAATATACTTAAAAGAGCTAGGAAGGTGGCTCAGTGGTAGAGTGTTTTCCTTGTATGCAGGAGGACCTGGGTTTGGTTCCTCAGCACCACATAAGCAGAAAAAGCTGG